CTTCCTGCATGTCTTACGAGTTTTTGACTCAATCTAGTGGGGGAACGTCCTACACTTCACCTGTCGGTACGAGGCTGCCACTCGAAAACCTTTTTTCCCCATCGGCATTCGGTTCTTCGAGCTATATGGCTGGTCAGTTGCCACTTCAGCTTACTAATCCATTGGGCGATGTCGGTCACTCTGGTTCTGCTGCAGATATCCTCATTCCTAAGTTTGAACCCCTGAGTATAGCCCCCTTCATAGCTCGCTGAGCAACTTCGAGCTTCCTCATACAGCCAGCAGTGAAAGACCTCGTCTCAGATCCATAGGTCATCACTGGCAACACCTACTGGTTCTACAATCTAGTTTTGAGGTATTCCTGCCGAGAAGATGTGTTGTAATCTCCCAAACGCTGCACAGCCGAGTTGAATCCGTCGATTGACCTGTCGGTCGAAGTTGAACTTACCTAGTGGGACTATTTGTCCCAAGTGAAAATACTCGTCAACAACTTCAGCTAAGTGCTCCCAAAAACCACCGGCATAGGTGTGACATGGACATTACACGTGACTTTTGTTTTGTCCATGTTCAACTTAAGACCTATCCGTTGGGAGACACGATTGAGGTCATTGAACATAGTGCGTAGGTCCTCCAGCGATTCTGCATGAAGGATTATATTGTCGGTAAAACGAAGGTGAGTGAGAGACTATTTATTTGAAAGTTATAGAAAGTTATATATCATTCTAATTCAATGTTTGTATTATCATTCCTAATTATACAATATAACTGTTCCACATTTTTAATAGTATTTCCACAATTATTTCTTCTGCGGCAGCTATGGCAGCTGGGTACGAGCTAGCAAGATAATATAAAAAAATATAAACTTTGAATTACATAGTCATCAGTTATTAACAACGTCATTTTCGAAATTGAAATTACAATATAAAAAAATAACTGAAATTATCATAAAGTCCTACTTTCTGTGGTATCGTCCCAAGAATGCTGGCTACGTGTCCTCACTGAATGGGTATATTTAGCCTTCAAGCGAGGAAACAACAAACTAAACAACTTCTTATTACCAGCAGCGATGATCAGTCACAGATACAGTTTTTTAGGAACTACACCGCACGTGCACCCTACGGATCAATAGTCTCTACAGCAAATTGCACAAATATGTACTTATCTTCCAGATACTCTGGGCTATTTACTTGGTTCAGTTGCCTCTAAGGGGTGGCACCCCTGCTTTAGACGAGGTACACCTGAGATGGGATGCTGTCAAAGTGTTCGCAAGTAGAATCCTACACATAAAGCTTTATCTCTCTATCTCTCTCTCTCTCTTTCTCTTAAGCAACCAAACCCATACCACCGGGTTCTGGTATCGTCTCTAAATATTCTACAAAGATCTTAAACCGAGGAAACATTTATAGAGATACGAGCTGCACTATGGACTCCCCGAGCTCGATATGTGAATGGAGCCAGGGAAAAAAGAGCACTTGGAAGCATCAAGTGTGCATCAGGGGTGCAGCCTCACCAAAGTCGCGAAAGATAGTCAAGTGGCGCATCGCCAATCGCCATACCAACACTCCTCTTCCCTTACGACTTCACCTCGACTACAGCGGTCCAGGGAGAGGAATCTCCTCTAGCCGCAGCCCACTAACACACATCCAACGTGGCTCGACATCATCAGGCGATTTTTCGACTCTTGGCTATGGCCCTTGAGTTTGGTGGAAAATGAGGAAAGAAGAAATAAAAAAAACATTCGAAATAATAATCTATTTGTTCCAAACATGATCATTTTGTTTCGGGCGCCAATTCACAATATTTATGCTTTTAAGCCATAATTTTAGTCTACGTTCAGTTCGAAACATGTTAATTAATAAACATTTGATAATCATCCGTTGTTGGCGACTTTTTTTGTTAACACATATGGGTAGGAAAGAACATCGATTAGTATTATAGACAAGAAACTCGACAACACTATTGAATTTTATTATTTATCGAAACTCAGTAATATACACCCAAACATGTTGGTATATATGATATTAAGATTAGTAACAAATTTATGAGTACTTATATTAACAAATAGTTTTAATTTGTTTAATATTTGCTGCAAATTCACTTACTTGGGAAATGTTATACCACTTTCCTTTTGGTAACGAGTCTTACAGATTACGCACACTATCATTACTAATAAAAATAATTCTTATTATGTAACTAATATTATATACAATCAAACAACAAAATACTTCCGTTTTTTAGTTTAAAAGTTCAAAACACAGAGTTATTAAATAAGAAAATATAAATAAGACAACAGACTTTGGCATATTATGTCAATTTTATTTTTCAAGACATCCTTTAGCGGCGCTTCAAATTGGCACAGTCATTTTGCATGGTATAGCCAGTCCAGCGTACTTGTATATATAGAGGTCAGTGGCTTGTAGAGTTGTCACGTGTTACTATGTTGTTTTAAAAAAAATCTCTTGATAAAAATATGCCGTCGTGTGTCAGTATCATACGCACGCCACCTAGTGTCAGTTAATTAAACCATGCGTATAACCTTCGCACAAGTGCAACCAATAAGTTGACTAAGTTTTACTGCAATCTGATGAACGGTATGGCATCGTAGAAAGTACGAAGAAATATAAATTTTTATATAGTAGAAAATATTTTACTGTCTATAGACAGACCTGTAGTTGATTAGAATAGACGTTATTATAGCAGCTGATTTGTTTTTTATAATACTAGAACTAAATGAACGGTTGACAATAAATTATTTTAGAAATTATGTTTTTATTTTTATTTTGTGTAATTAGTTTAATCTTAATAATTTTTTAGTTGAATGGTCTAAGGGCTACGATGGGTAACCGAGTAAAGAACCAGAGTACAAAACTAATCCAACTGTAGAGATGTGTAAGACAGGGTGACGTAATATCCCCGAAATACTTTACCGCTACATTGGAAGACGTTTTCAAGCTACTGGACTGGAAAGGATCCAGTATTAACGTCAATGGCGTGTACGTCACTCACCTCCGATTTGCCAACAATATAGTCCTTATGGCAGAATCGCTGGAGGACCTACGCACTATGTTCAATGACCTCAATAGTGTCTCCCAATGGATAGGTCTTAAGATGAACATGGACAAAACAAATGTTATGTGTAATGTCACACCTATGCCGGTGGTTTTTGGGAGCACTTAGCTGAGTTGTTGACGAGTTTTTTTTATTGGGACAAATAGTCCGACTAGGCAAGTTCAACTTCGACCGACTGGTCAATCGACGGATTCAACTCGGCTGTGCAGCGTTCGGGAGATTACAACACATCTTCTCGTCAGGAATACCTCGAAACTAGATTGTAAAACCAGTGCGTGTTGCCAGTGATGATCTATGGATCTGAGACGAGGTCTTTCACTGCTGGCCGTATGAGGAAGCTCGAAGTCGCTCAGCGAGCTATGAAGAGGGTTACGCTCAGGAGTTCAAACTTAGGAATGAGTATATCTGCAGTAGAACCAGTCACCGACATCGCCTAATGGATTAGTAAGCTTAAGTGGGAATTGACCGGCCATATAGCTCGAAGAACCGAATACTGATGAGGGAAAAAGGTTCTCAAGTGGCAGTCTCGTACAGGCAGGTGAAGTGTAGGACGTTCCCCACTAGATGGAGTCAAAACCTGGTAAGACATGCAGGAAGTTGATGGATGCAGGTGGCTTAGGGCCGTGCTTTGTGGCATTCCTTGGGGGAGGCCTATGTTCAGCAGTGGACTTGTGAAGGGCTTTAATGATGATGAATAATAATGACATTATATTAATATGATACATAAATAAAATGGACGTTACGGGTAGAGTCCATCTATTCATAGAGTCCATTCTATTTATTTAGGTATAGGTAGGGTATAGAATTTTTATCGATATAATTTGGTACACTGTTTTATCCCTATTATTAATTCCGTGGACGTGCACTTCTGCTGTCAGCGCCAAAATGGCGGAAATCAAATTGCTTCATCATGTCACGGTTTATAGCCAGTCCAGCGTACTTGTATATATAGAGGTCAGTGAATAAAATACATACCTACTCAATAATATTGTCAAAAAGTTCCATTTACCAAATTTAAACTTATTTTTTAATTATATTGTTTACAAGGGGCCAGTTACAAAAACTTTCAGTGTCGCTCTCGTAATCCTGTTCTGCGCAGATACCTTGACACAAATTCCGTTGAGACAGTCCAATTTTTTTGTTACTTTTGCTGACAAACGGTGCAGGGTCATATTAAAATCTTACGTAAGATAAAAAATTATAAAACTATATAAATATTTTTATAACTAAATTGTGAACATGAGCTACCAATTGTTAATGATGTAGAAACTGGGATACGGAGCCTAATGACAATTAATGATTCTTAATTCCTTCGCAATTTTCTTAGTTTTTTCTTATAATGGGGAGGGGAGACTCTAAGATCATAGAAAGTTTGCTTACGTAATAGTTGGACACCTCCATTTCAATTCTGATGTCAATAGGCTGTTCATATTGATCCGCCCGGCTTGAAGTCAGTTACAGGTCCAGTATGTATGTGGTAGAGTCCCGTTGCGGCTATTATGGATGCACCAGTGTAAACTGGCTGCTTAATGCTGCTGTGTTTCGTATAGTGAGTGTGGAAAACCCGAGACGGATTCGTTAATGGAAACGAGGCATTTCATTTCATTCATCAAGGGTGACAAAGCATCTACATTTTGATTCTTAATTAAAGATAGTATTCTATAAAATAAAAAAGTGATCATGGGCAACAGTTGCTACCTACCATCATATTTTATTCTATTCAGTCATTCATTGCTGAATTCTGTCTGTCATTGTAGCCACGCTTAGTCGGCGGGCATGACTACCGCAATGTTTTAGGTATTTTAAGTTGTCATCAAGTAGACGCTGATACCCAGATATGGGGTAGCGGATTTTCTTACAGCGCTCCTTATTAGAACATTTTACGATTACAAAAATTATATAACATAGTTTAAATAAGTATTATATGCCTCTACCTCTTGTAGTAGATTCACTGCAGTGGGGGCTAGTCCTAGCCCGGGTTGCGAGACATCTCCTGCGATCACACTCAGCTTATCCAACTGCTCAGGTCTGGTCTGACGAATCACGTCAAACACCTGGACAAAAGTTTTCATTTAGATAATATCGAAAACAGAAAGCGACTATTTGCAAGTTTACCTAAAGATTTGACTAATTTTAAACATCTTTATTTATTGAAAACTTATAAAAAATGAGTAATATCAAATAATAAAGGCACATTGTTGTTTTAAAAACTAACATGTAATTACCTATGTGGGTTTCTTAATATAAAATAAAATTTTACTTTACTTTCGGTTCTTTTTATTGAACTTCAGCTTGTAAACTATTTTTTTATAAGTTATTTTCTTTTATTTAGTTACAATTTTTTTCTGATAATACAGTTAGGATGGTATTTTCTTTTTCGTGATTGAGTGGATGAAAAAGCTTTCACCAAAGCAAATGTTCCTTCTTTAATTTTATTGTAAAAAAACATGCCATCGTTAACAAATGTGGTAACCATATCGTTGCCGAAAGCTTTGTTGCTTTCTGACGATATACAGGGTTATTGTGCAATAACTGGCCGAATATGCAGAGAAGATTCACTAACCTGAGATTGTTTTAGATCCTGCAAACGTTTCTCCGGTGTCACACCCTTCTTGTAACGCAACAGCAGATACAGTCGACTTATGTCTGGACATGTCGCTAATAATCTTTCAACTAGAACCTAAAAATGCACAAATATAATTGGTAGAGCCATGCTGTAGCACGAATGGGTCGGCTCGACCGGGGATGGACCACTCTCTCACAGAATACCAGCGTGAAGTAGTAGCTTAATGCTGCTGTATGTCGTATGTTTCGTCGAAATGAGGCATTTCATCTTAGTCCTCACGGGTGACAACTGACAACGCATCTGCATTTTGTTTTGTAATTGAGGATAGATATAGATGTCTACGGGCCGCAGCAAACACTTACCATCAGGAGGACTGTGTGCTCGTTTGTCACCCTATCCTAAAAAAATGCAATGTTTATTAATACAAAATTCTATAAACACTGAATTTAAATACAGTATGTGAAGGTATTATAGTCATCTACTTAATATACGAGTCTAAAACTACAGCCTTATTTACATAGATGGCTTTGTGATACGATATCTTTTCATCGGTCAATCAATGGGTAATAATAATGGGTCAAAAGGTCGTGCTTTATCAACGCCATTTTGACGCACAGTGGTGGACCGCTAAGCATCCAAATGGTGACGATGGTATCTTGAATTTTGACGCGACGTGCGTTTATGAAATTTGGCAGCTGGGATTAATTCGAACAATTCCTCAGAGCACTCCCCTTGGTAGATACGATAGAAAATGCAAAGAGATGCAACATCTCTACACAGCGCTAGTGAATCGAGCCAATCAGAAAGAACTCTGTCGTCGACGATTCGAACGGCTCTGCGCTGGATGCGGTCAAGTGGAAGGATAAAAACTCCTTTGGAGTTCGGTAACTGGTATTTCAAGCTTATGATTGTTCCTAGTGTTTAAAGTATGAACATCTTTATTCTTATCAAAGCTATTAATGATTTTATCATAATCGGTCCGTAAGAATCGACTACCACCAGAGATTTTTACGGACCGAAACGACTAAGGGACGTTTTAGACTTATCTTAAAGGTATCAAGCCTACTCCTTTTTAAAAGGCTGGCAACATATCTGCGATCCCCCTGGTGTTGCAGTAGTTCATGGGCGGCGGTATTCACTTACCATCAGGTGAACCTAATGCTCGTTTACCCCTTTCCTAATAAAAATATTAGTAAGCTGAAGTGACCGTTGTGTGTGATCATATAGCCCGAAAAACCTACAACCGACGGGGAAGAAAGGTAATCGTGCAGCTTTGTACCGGTAAGCGAAGTGTATGGCGGCCCCCCACTAGATGGAACGATGACCTGGTAAGACATGCAGAAAGTAGATCGATGCAGGTGGCTCAGAAGCGTGCTTTGTGCCATTCCTTGGGGGAGGCCTATGTTCAGCAGTGGATTGTTAAGGTGGCTGTAATAACGATGATGAGATAGCCTGCAATATATAATATAATATATTGCAGGTAGACACTTCAATGGTATTTATATGTATAGAGTATAGAAAAGTCGAAGGCTGCCATTCGGGAACGTTTTTCTCCAACGGTTATCGGTTTTTAGTCTTATTTGACCGGCTCAATGCCGCTATAGTTTACTTATCTGTTGGGAACGTCTACCTATTGAAGCATAAAAACCCTCGTAATTCCATAGCATAATGTCGTAAGGTATTTTTCTATGGGGACACGGCACTGATACCGAAATTATATTTGTTTTACAGAAGAGGGCCATATGAGAAATTTATGATTTAATACCTAAAGAGTCGCTCAGACAAAATTTTTATGAAATTAATATATTAACTTTGGCCTTTCAATACATTTATGAAAATGTTTACAAAAATAAAAGCAGTTTTCCAAAAATAGGTGATATTCATTCTGTAAATACTAGGTACAGACACAAGCTAGTTGTACCAGTTACTGGACTCCACCGAGTCAGTTATTCATTCTTGGGGCGATGTATACGCTTTTACAACAAAATCCCAGAAAATATACAAAATTTGACCGGTACAAAGTTCAAAAACTATTAAAATAAGTTTGTATGAAAAGGGTTATTATAATATTAAAGAATTTATGGATGACAATAACCCCTTTGAAGGGTAATCACTACCAAGCTATTTTTATTTTTTATGTGTTGTCAACTGTAACATACATGATTGTAAGTTGTATTTTTTCTTAAAACTCGGTTTCTAGGTTTCTTCGGTCACTAGGTTTCTTACTGGTTCTTCCCAGGAAAGAGGTTTTTTTCGATCCAGTGGTAAATTAAAAAAAAGTGACTTTCAATAAGTATTATTTATAATCTATATTGAATAAAAAAGTTCCTGTTACTGGTTCTGTTTCATCATTTTAGAAAATATTTCACCACAGCATGGGTTAATTGTCGTTAGACATTAATTCCACCCGTTGTTGCCCTATTTATACTATTTATAAAGGTGATAACAGTAAAGTTTAAGTAAACAAATATTTTTTCTTGACTAAAAAAGTTTGTAAGAAGGATTCAAAATTTTAAATGTATTTATGTAAAACATGTCTGAGCATTTCAGTTTACCAAATTCTTGTACGGAAGCTATTTATATACAAATGCCTACGGAGTTATCACTGGTTAGATATCCCAAACTTGCCGGTAACTGAGCAGAGAATATACACATGTCCTGTCGTATGTAGTCACTATAAATGTTTTGCAAAACAGTGCGATGAGAGCGGTGTCGAGGAGTTTCCTTACGTCTGCTCTTAAGCTCGGAGTAGCCCATCACAGAGCCCCAGTTGCCTCAGATAACCCGAGAGATGTTCGCAGACCACTCCACATATCAATCACCTCGTGAGCCAGGTTCAAATTATTTTGTTCGCATAAGCGAACCTCGTGAAAGCCGAAACAGTTAATCTGTTTCAGCTTTCACAAGATTCTCGTCTTTCACTTTTATTCGTTCATTAATTTAACAGCCTGTTAAAAGTCTACTGCTAAACATAAGTCTTCTCCATAGATAATGGGAGGATTCTGCCATATTTGCCACGCTTGGTATGCCGGTCAGCAATTACAGTTTTTTTAATATTTTCGAATGTTATCATGAAGACGTTGCTATCCATCTTCTTATTCATTTTCTTCCCTGTCGCCTCTTACGACACCACTTGAGCATGTGCAGTAAAGCAGTTTCCGATCCTGGAGATCGTACTTCTGAGCTACGAAATCGGTCATAAAACGTTATTATGACTTTAAGCACAAGTCGAGCAAATTAATAATCTCAATACGAGTATTTAGTTGTTATCAGCTTTCATTAATGCAGCAATAAATATCTGGCAACTACCGCTCAATTTCTCAGTTCTGTTAAATAGAAATCATACATACTTTTCCCATGAAGCCAGTAGCACCGGTGATAAGAACGTGACGTCCAGCGTAGAATCGTGGTATCAGGGCGCCATCTGGCGAACGCGGTCGCGCAACCATTTCTATAAGGGGTATCCGTTTTCTGCAACAAATAACATGCTTTTTTATTGAAACTGGTATATTTTTTATGAACTTTCATAAAAAATATACCAGTTTAAATAACTACACTTGTAGTGACTGCAGCATGACAGCAGCATGACATCTGCAACTAACTTCAAACAAAGGAATCTACAGATAAGTGGTCACCTCCGAAAACCAAGATAGAATGACCCACAGTTTTATGTGATAGAGCCGCGCTGTATAGCTATATTATGGTTGTAGCACGAATGTATCGCATCGACTGGCGAAGGAAAACGCTCTCACAGAATAACAGCTTAAAATAGCAGCTAAATGCTGCTGTAATAAGTGTAGAGAATCGGAGATTATTTTTACTGAAAAGGAGGCATTCCATCTTAGTCCTCACGGGTGACAATGCATGCGCAATTTGATTCTTAATCGAAGATAAATGTAGATGTCTATGGGCCACAGCATTCACTTACCATCAGGTAAACTGTGTGTTCGTTTATCACTCCCATTCTATAAAAAAAGCTTGTAATTATACTGGCTCTATACACACTTCAAACTGCAACACAGTATTGTTGGCACTGCTATTTGGCGGCAAGAATAAAAGGTAGTATGAGAAATGACGTATAATTTATGGTTAATAAAAATATATTAGGATATGGTTTGCGTATTTTATCGATTTCCATCATATTAGAAATTAATATTCTATTATTTCAAGTCTGTTTGCTGAGGTTTGGTAAATATTATTAACCAAAGTAGCGGCTTTTTATTATCTATCAGCAAAAGAATTAGCGGGCCGCAATTTGTAATAAATTCAGAAACCCTGCTTTTATATCAACTCCCGCCGAACAGACTATTTTGCTCTTTATAACCGAATGACTACAACTAAATAATTATTGATTTATTTTTACGATTCTGTGTTAAATTTTATTGCAACAGTAATTTTTATTAACTACTCTTCTCTATTGAAAGTAAATGCTATTTAATTTTTTAAAAAAAGTTGAAATTCGCTAGATTCGTGCGTTCAGTTTGCGGAGGGCTATAGGAAATATTTAGAAATTGGCTACGTATCGTATCCGTCGAAAAAACGGAGCAGGTTCTCAAGTCGACGCGTATATTTTTTTTATATATGACCACCCATAACTTTGTACAGAATAGTCCAATTTCGATAATTATTTTTTTTTAATGGATAGGGTATCCCTCGAAATTGGTCTCATAAAATTTTGGAAAAATAATTTTCATCTAAGGGTGGGAAAATAGGGGTGATTTATTACAGAATAGTCCGCTTTTGATAATTCTTTTTTTATTGGATGGCATACCCTACCTCGAAATTGGTCCCATATAAATTTGGGAAAATAAAATTTACCCTAAGGGTGGGAAATGAAGTTAAGCAAAGAAATGTGGAACCAACGGAAATAGGACGGATACCGTTATCCTTTTTTTTGAATGCATACAATCGTGCTCCATATAAGTAGGTAATGAAAGTGGGATTAAAATTATCAGAAGGCAAAAAATTACATAATTTTGTTCAATTACTTTATCGACTTCACCGGCAGACGCACTTACAAGATCTTTGCCGCCAGCAGAGCCATTCGAAATTGACAACATTGCGTCTAAAGTATCTTTTTCAGAAATTTGTAAAAATTGACGATCTGTGTAGAGTCAAATCGAAACCAAATCACAACTTAAATTATTTAGCACTTGTTTTTTTTTTCGTTTACTTAATATTAAGTACATACTTCTAATTAAAAAGTTCTTCTCACATAAAAAAGAATGAATGAAACAAGTAAAAAATATATTAATCATCCGGTAATTAAATCATGGCTACCTCATGTTTTTTACGTTGTTAATTATATGTCTTTAAACTGGGCTTCTATTTTCTATCTAGGTTTTTTATAGGATAAGTATGGTAAGTGGTTGCTGTGGCCCATAAACATCTACATTCATCCCCGATTAAGAATCAAAAGGGAGATGCGTTGTCACCCGTGAGGACTAAGATGGAATGCCTAGTTTCCTGTAAAAAGGGTCTCCGGCTATCTACACTCACCATACGAAACACAGCAGCGTTAAGGTGCAATTTTACTTTGGTATTCTGTGAGAGCGTGGTCCTTCCCCGGTGTAGCCAGCTCCAGTGGTAGAGCCACCATTTAAAAATTTATGAAATAGTGTAGAGTTAGTAAATACAACTTTTATTTAATAAGGGTTAAAACCGATTACATAGTCTATGGTGAAATAAAGGAGGTCTGTTGCCGGCATTGGGATGGTATGTTATGGGCTGTAAATTTACTTAGATCGCCTCTACGTTTGCACGTACTTTATGATTTTTTAATAGTAGATGGTAAGTCGTCTCTCGGGTTGGACAAGTCACAGAATATATAATGATAATATATATAAATAGTGCTACGGCTAGGTTGATTTTTTACAGTCATTAATGCTAATTTAATGGTATAAAATTGAATGAAATAAAACGTAAATGAAACGAAGGGATAAACAACTTGGATTACAGATCAGAGAGGAAGTTTCCACCGTGGTTCGAAAACCTCCAGGAAGACATTAAAATAATTTTTATTGACGTTTTTTTTCAAACGGTAATTGAAAACTAACGCGTCAAAATATTTTGGATGTTTCTCAACAACTATGTGTGTGCAAACAAGGTATGCTAAACGTTTATTATTTACCTTAAAACTTAAAGTACGATAACATATTATTAAAGAACAAGCGTTAACGATGGGGTTCAGTGACATGTACTCGTATCTTTCGGTGTTCAAACAAAGTGTGCTAAGCGTTTATTATTTACGTTAAAATTCAAGGTTAAAAAACAAATTGTTAAAAACAAGCATTAACAGTAAGCGTGGAGTGGGGTATCTCCCTTTAGTATGTACTGAATTTGAACTTGAAACCGTCCTTAGCTTATGTAATGTATAAAAAGTTGATCTTGACCGCCGCGCAGATTGCTGTTGCATTAAGGGGAAATATAATCTCAAATGGCTTAGCAAGATCCTTCGTTATGCCGAAAATATTGCAACATTAATTTTGAAATAAATATATGGTAAAGTTGAGGATTAATGTTAAGGATTATGTTAGACGAAAACACGATTTCGTAAAATTTTCTCGATAGAAAAAAAATCCAAATTTACCTCCAAAATAAATAATAAATCGCTGTTATTCATAAAATACTTTAAATAAGATCATGAAACTTTGCATACTAACTGAAATAACTATAAAGCAGTGCTTATGTTATTTACTTTTTTTAAAATACCATTATTTTCACTGTAAAAAGAAATTACCCAAACTATCGGCCTCTAGAAGCGTAATTCCTGCCGCACGGTCACTTCGCTTCGGCCTTTGAACGGGGAGGTTGTTTCGCTTACGATCAGAATATACATTACGCAACAGGACGACGTAAAATTAATGGGAAATAGTATATAGAGCGCGTTAAGAAACAGGAATAAATATGATAAACCTAATGAAATAAGTGTCTAACGACCTTTCTACTTACAGTATTAGTGATTACAAACATGTCGGGTACATAGCACACGACGCGCGGGCAAGTGGGGACGAAATTAGAATTTGAGCTGACTTACTCTATCCCCTTAACATTTAATTAATGGTTTGAAGTTGATTTTATACGTAAATATATAGCGATTTTTTTGTGTTAAATATGTGCGCATGTCAATTGTGAGACAAACGATTCAATTAACTAAGAAGAATGAACCATGAAGAACAAACAAGTCTTAAGTATTTTTTTCCATTTAGGTCTTTAATACATTGTTGTTAATACAGAAAGTTAGTTGACAGAAGTTAACGCGAAATCTCACAAACACATCAATGTCATGCATCAAAATAATGTATAGATATTTGTTAACATATTTATACTATATACGAGTATAAGAAAATACAGCTTGCAATGGCTGCAATGACATTTGGCTTAAGGCCTTGTTGCCAATGGCACTTTCACCTCACTCTTGACGTTCTATAATGACCAAACAAAATAAAAGGGGAAAAAAGTAGTAGTTTCGTCGTTTCTTATCACAATACGTGTTATAAGAAATAATAAAGACTTCTACAGATAGTGCTTATAGTACGCAGTAGTATAATAAGTCTATTGCTTATAGTATTTTACTTGAGCACATCTGGATGAAGACAGTACTTATACTCGCGTTGTGTGCCTAGAATGCTTACGGATACGCAAATCAAACCAGACTGAATTTCCCGAGGATTTTCGGAACTGTTGAAACAAGATCCTAAACATTTTTCGGCTCGATTTGTAACAATGGACGAAACGTGGTTTTACAATTATGATCCCGAAACAAAATTGCAGTACTTTGACTTGAAAAAATTCTCTAACTCCTAAGAAATTCTAGGAGAGCATTTCCTCCCGCACCTTTGAGATCATAAGCTCTCTTTTTTGGGACTACTGTTAAGGGCACTTTGTAATTAGAAAAAAAAAATAGAAAAATTGCGCAACGAAATATACTAGAGGACGAGGTAAACTCGCAAAGTTTTTTTTTCACTTCTTTACTCGACCTGCGGAGACCCGCTACTCTTAAAGAGCTTTAAGAGCTTAAGCGGTGTATCTGTGAACACCAAAATGGTTGTTTCTATTTCTATACAAATCGTCTTAGCGCAATTTAAAATGGGCTTAGCTCTCTTATCTTGGGTTTGGGTTTAAGTGGACCTGCAAAGTGTTCTCTGCTTTTTCTTAACATTACTATTCCACCGCAAAGAAGTTGGCTTGGAAGTATATCCGCTCAGATAAATGAATAAGTCCACTAAATTGCTCACTAATTGCTCAATTCAAATCCGCATTTGCTCACACTATTAATGAATTATTTTATTAGTAATTAATAATTAAAAATACAAAATAGTTTTTGCCTATTATACTTAAAGCCAATAAACTTTTCTAAAAATGAATAAATACCATTAATTGTTCAAAAAATGCTTAATTGAAATCCGTATTTTATCACACCATTAATTAATTATTTAATTAGTAATTA